GATCTCAGGGTCTTGCTTGGAGTTTGACGGTGACCTCATTAATGTGGGTCTAGAATGTATGTACTCACTTTTTAGATCGATTGGCAAATCATAAGATACCTTCTCTGATGTTTCTTCTTTCCAGTGTCGAGTATACTACTTACTGTGGGCTTCTACTCTACCACATCCTAAACTGAGAGCATTAAGAAAGTACCTGCTCTATCTCTGCCCTTTCCCTTTCTATGGATCTGGGGGGAAAACAAAAAACCCAGGGGAGCTCATGGTGACCAGCCTCATTCTGCACCGTGAAGGTCAATGGCAGCACTGGGGTGGGAGATTTTAATACTCAAAGCCAGGCTGTTCTAAGAAATCAAAAACGCTGTTTCAGACCCCTGAGAACAACCAGATTTTAGATGCATTGAGTGATTGGTTAGCGGATGGTGCTTTACACAAGCACAGAGCTTGATTTTCACTTTTTCTTATTGTTTGTGTTTCTATTCTAGATTTTAAAATTAATGTAGATGTCCTAGCACCTCGTACATCTTTTGGGACTGATGTACAATTTTAGTCTTTTTAATGACTTTTATAAGCAATGGGGCCTGTGGCAATTCAAGTTGACTGGAATGAATTTATCATTTATTATCCTTGCACATGGGATGGGCACTCTCCTACGCTGCTGGTGGAAATGGAAATTGGCACAGCTCTTCTAGCTAATAGTAAGAATCAAATACTTTAACATGTTTTGTATCTGTCAGCCTAGGAATTTCAATGCTAAGAATTTATCCTAAGGAAGTCATTGCACAAGTATACAAATATTTCTCTTTAAGGATATTTGTCACAGCTTTACTGTAATAGTATCCCTATTCAACAAAAAAGGAAACAACTCATATAAGGATCTAGTTGTGTAAATTATGTAATGCCCCCATAATGGAACACTGTCACCATTAAAATTATGTCCTGGAAGACTATTCAAAACCATGGGAAGAAGATTGAGATAGCCAAGTGGAAAAAGTAGGTTATAACAGCATATATAGTGTGATCCTTTTTGTTTGTTTTTTGTAAATCAAAAAATATGTCTGTGTAAAAACAAAGGACTGAAGAAAAAAATGAATACCAAAAAAATGGTGATTATCTTTGAGTGAAGGTGGTTTATCTCAAAGAGATGGGATAGTTTTAATTTAATTTAAAGCTGTGTGCTTTCCAAGTGTTCTACAATATCTGTGTATTATTTTGGCAATGGAACACTTCTCACTTCTTGAAATGTTACTAGCAGAGTAGTTCATCACAGTATTCTTTGTCTTTACTAGCAGACTTTCATTAATTGCTTAAGTGGGTTCTTCTAACTCTGCAAGATATTCCTGGCATGTTCAGTAGTTAACATCACAAGCCTAACAATATTAACATTTGACCTATATGGAACGGTGCTGATAGGCAAATTAGCATTTGTGATGTTCATTTTTCATGCCAACTTTCATTTACAAAGTAAGGGTTGAAACCAGAGGAGGATTGTTCCAGTAGGGGTTAGAAGTGGTGGCAAATTGTAGAAATGCAACAGTAAAGGCAACGGACAGCAAGCAAGACCGCAGATGGCAGAAAGAAGCAGAATGATACAAACATGGAAGTGGTCAGTAAATCAACATTTGTGCCCAAAGAAGCAACATTTGTATTCCTGAGGATCTTTTCTCAGCTCCCAAATAAGAGTGCAATGTGCTAATAGCAAGGCAGAGACCATTAGGATGCTTGCCAAAGGCCCAGATCTGGTGGTCCTACTACCAGTGCTGCTAGGGAAGGCTCATGTCCAGGAGGGCGTGGATTTGGCTCAGTGGGGGAGACCAACTCACACTTGGCTCACAGGAGGAGGAGACTTCATTAGTACACATTGTGCCTCTGCCAGCTGAGGAGCGAAAGAGATGTGTGGTGGTCATAGTTTGGAGGGTATAAGATTAGAACAAATCCTAAAGCCTCTAGAAGCCATTATACAACTTTGTGGGAAGAGGTGGGCTGGGGTGGGGAGAAGAAGCTCAATTAGTTGAAGTGGAAAATCCCTAAAAAGAAGTCCTTATATCACTGAATCACTGATCAGTACCTATTCTTCTTTCTTTCATTGGCCTGGCTTAAAAAAAAAAGTCCTGTTGTTCTTATAAGAAAAGGAGTGCTCCTAATCCCTCCCATAAGCTCCACCAACCTTTCCTGGCTTCCCTAGACACCCTACATAAACTCAGTCTAAATAAAAACAGTATGCCTGTCACACTCACACAAGTTAAAACAGGCCCCCCAGCTTTCCCTATCCAATCAGGTGGCAGCTCCCAAGCCCCGTCCACAGAGCAGTCCTGGAGCCACTGTTGTTGTGGGTGAGTGGGGTGAGTATGCGGAGAGACAAGTTGCTGATTGGGGTGGGAGTGCAGAGGTGGAAATTGGTAGAAGACGCATTGCTCCCATCATTACCACCACCACCTACCCACTCCCCAACATGCCTGGAAATTCATATATAATCAGAAAGTCTGTAAGGCTACAGAAAGTGGGTTCAGGCCCCAATTTTGGCACACACCCCACCCCACTGCCCAATAGTGTGGGTGGACCAGCTAAAAAGTTTTTCATGAGATTTCCCCTGAATCTCCTTCCAGACTGATACCAGGCTCTAGTGATTTGTACTAACTTCCCCCCTCCAAACTCCAATTTCATGTGCCCTAAAAACCTGTGTCTGAACAGGGCACCCATCCAGGTGCCCCACCAGTCCTTCCTCAGACCACAGCTAACGAGCAGACCTCCACCCCAGGTCCCTTTCTCTCCTAACTGGCCTGGAAAGTTGCAAGGACTAGGCATTTGCAAGTTTCTTCTCTATCTTATCATGAAGCAATTATTCCTGAGTTTGAGGATAGGTGTTTGTTTACAGAAACAGTTTCATGTTATGGGAATCAGATACCTGAAAGTTTTTTATGCAAATCTTATGCAAAAATTAGGCAAATTACAACTCTGAACCAGGACTTCCAGCCTCCCTGCATCATGGCACCTGGAAAGGAAAGAGCATCTGCTCTTTTTTGTTTTAATTTGGTATGAGTATTTGACATTAAGTAACACCATCTACTTTTGCTTAATAATGGATTTGCTAAGGTGTTTCATGGCCATGCAACTTAATTCTAAATGTCAGACGTCAGTCTTATGGTTAATTGCCTTCTGGGATCTGTACAGTTTTCCCTCTTGTGACCTTCTACTTGTAAACCTGTCTGTGGGTTGTACACATGAGTGTACTGCAAGGATTGGCACTAGATTAGCAAAGACTTTCAAATATTGTAAGTAAAGAGGCAACATGAAGACCCGGAAGACTTGCAGGATCGGCCCCTGTCACCCTCCCCAGCTTCATATCAGGCCCTTCCTCTCTTTGTCCCAGGCCAGTCGACTAACCTGAACTCCCTTCTTTGAACGCACTCTTCTCCCTTCCACCTTTGGGTCTGTACGAGCACCACAGATCTCTACCAGCAGTGCCTGCCCCTTGCCTGCCCCCAGTTCTTCTACTCTCAGCTCAAATGCCACTTCCTTAAGAAAGCCTTCCTTGACTACCTCCTCCCATCCTCGGTCAGGGATTGGTGCTGTCTTGGTTAGATACCTTAGAATGGGTAATTTATAATCAACAGAAATTTATTTCTCACAGTTCTGGAATCTGGGAAGTCCAAGATCAAGGATCCAAGATCAAGCAGATATGGTGTCTGGTGAGGGCTCTCTGCTTCATAGTTGGCACCTTTTTGCAGTGTCCTCAGGTAGCTGAAGGGGCAAATGGGCTCTGTCAAGCCTCTTTTATAATGGCAGTGATCCCATTCATGACGTCTCCACCCTCATGATCTAACTAACTCCTAAAGGCCCCACCTTCTAATCCCATCACCTTGGTGATTAGGTTTCAACATATGAATTTTGGAGGGACACGAACATTCAGATCATAGCTGTCACCTTTTCTTCACAGTTGTACTTATACATTTGTGTAATTTGGTGAGTGTCAGACTCCTCCATTAGACTAAGCTACCAGAAGGCAGAGTCTTGCCCTGTAACTCCCAGAGCCAACCATCTACTGTCACATAGTGGTGGCTCAATAAATGGATTTGCTCATCTCTAAGCACGTAATTCGAACTTGTCCTTACTGTGATTTGGGTACTTAATTATCTCTTTTCCTCTGCTCCATCTCAGGGAGAATCAAGAGAGCTTCTTAGCTAATAACCCTGGGGGCTGTGCTTCAGAAACACTGTAAATAAGGGTATTTTCCACCCAAGCTTCACCCTCCAGATTCGCCTCTCTCTGTGCTTTTAGCCTTTGGAGTCCAGAGTCTGAAACATATTTTCAGTCAGGTTTTTCTGCTTGGTTTGGGCTGCTGTGTCCCTCCAAGAGGAATCCTTAATTGCATATTTCTGCTTCTATACTTATAATTCTGTGTCCTTTATGTGTACCTGGTGCCCAGAGAAACAGTGGAGGGCAGGGGAGCTGAATGATACAATACTGAGGTTTTCCCTTCATCTTAGTAGCAGGACAGGTAAGAGTTTCAGTATAGGGGTGATTTTTCCACTTGCCATCAACTTCAGTAATCCCAGAAAAATTCTACTTGAACCATTCTTCTAAGTCTAGCCATCTCCTTTTCTTTACTTTTTGTTTTTCCACCTTTATTTTTCAGAAAGGAGGCCTCTGGAGAAACTTTTTTTCTCTCCCACTTTTCCAGGTTGGGCGGGGTTCCTGAAGCCAAAGACCTGGCCTCCCAAATGCTGAAGGGCTTTCCTAGAGACCGAGTCTCTGCACAGCAAGCACTTGTTCATGATTATTTCAGTGCCCTACCATCTCAGCTGCACCAGCTTCCCGATGGTGAGTGTGTGAATGTGTGTGTGTGTGTGTGTGTGTGTACGCGTGTGTACATGTGCATACGTGCTAAGTCTCAGTGTCTTAAGTATTCACTCTTAACAGTAGGGAAATCATAAAATTTGCACCCAGAAGTGAAGTAAGAGATCAATTTGCCTGGGAGAAGCAAGATGGGCCCCAATCTTGTCTGAGTTTTGCATGAGATTCTCTAAAACTCTAAAGCACTGGTGAGGAGAGGTGACAAGCACCTCCTTGTAATGATCCAAACATTTCACATATACACACTTACACACAGAAATTGGATGAGATGAAAGTTGCCTCTGAGTTGTTTGCTTTAGCTAACATCTGCCAGGGGAAGCAAAACCAAAGTTTCTAACAAGCCCCTTCTCTCCTTGCATAGAAAGTAAGATGATAGGTGACATGGATATGTCAGGAGAGGAGAACTGGGCCTTTCTTGACTGGTAACACGATGCTGCAGAAGGAAGGTCTGAGGTGGGGTGCTTGGGGAAGGGAAGCGTCTCCCAGGCTGGCCGCCCACTGGAAACACAAGTTACTCTGAAATCAGCCTCTGCTGCCTGGGCCTGAAGTCATCCTCCAAATCTGAAATCTGCTGAGGGATCATGTGCTTGGAGCAATCCTCGTGTTTCTCAGAATGTGGTCAGGAAGAGCTACAGGAGGATGTGGGCAGTGTGGTCATGGGGGGAGGGCTATCCTTAGGTGGGGTTTCTTTGAAAACTTCCACCATTCAACTGAAAACAGTTTTTAGAAGTCCTAAGCCAGAGAAAAGAAAGCTGAGAAGGAGGACCTAGGAGCTCAGACTGGAAAGAGGGTACTGGGACGGGAGTGAGGATGGGCCGCCATGGGGAGAGGACAGGGACAGGGCGAAAGGTGTAGACAGTGTGGCCCATGTTGTCAGGGTTTGCAAACGCAGCTCCACTGGATCTAGGACATTGTCCCGCAGCAGTCCAAAGCTCTTAGTTAGGGACTTGTTGAGGTATTTTACTATTAAAGTGAGTCATTTAAGATCTCCAAAAATAACCATAATCATGCAACTGGGGTTAATATCTTACTTAACCCTGTAGGAAGAGTCAGTCATTAGTATTTATTAACTTGCCATTAAGTATCAAGAACATGTTAAGTGTTATAAAAAGTTGAGGAAAACAAGAGACTTGTCCTTGGCCTCAAGGATCTTAAGGAGTGGGAGGAAAAGAGGGTGAGGAAGAGGAAACAGGGCACCCTCATAACATATTAGCACAAATCATATCCAAACAGCTAAAATCTGCACGTAACCAACTGCAGATGTTCAGAGACTGTGTGTGCGTTAAAGGCAATTCTTCGGAGGAAATAGAATAACTCAAGTAAGATGGATTAGACTGGAGGTGAATCTGAAGTGGAATTTGGAAGGAGAGGCAGGCCAGCCTCCAGCATATGGGTGGAGTGAAGACATCGCGGGCAGACTTACAATTCTCACTCCCTTCCTGTCACCCCCACCCCCACCCCGCCATTCCAACCTCCTCTTCCAGACTGAGCTCCTAGATCATCCTTCTTAGCTTTCTTTTCTCAGGCTTGGAACTTCTAACTCTCCCACTTCATGCAAGTGTGTATGCTTGGGTGTACACATACACACACGAACACATACACTCCCTTCTCTCCGCTTAAGGAAACTTCTCCCATCGGCTCTCCTCTGGGGTCTATTATTCTGCACACACAGTGAGAACCGCCGGGGATCTTCAAAGTTTTCTAGGCACCAGCTTTTGCCTGACGAAGGATAATTAGGAAGAAATAATCCCTGTCCAAACTGATGTGCTGTTAGAAACTTAGATTTTGAGTTTTCCTGGCTGATCCAAAGCAAAGGCACCAACAGAGGGGCTCTGGTGCACGTATGTCTCTCGGTGGTGTGTGTGTGTGTGTGTCCATGCGCAAGTGTGTGTGAGAGAATGATCTGTATTCCTTCTCTGTTCACCCAGTCACAGAGCCCAAATCTACTTTGACACTTTTAGAAAAATGAAAAGATGGAATCTTGCAGGAGCCTGCCTGCACCGGGGGGAGACTAGGAGTGCTCACAGCAGGAGGGAAGTTGACTTTTCTTTATACATATAGGGGTTTTCCATGCAGAGTTTAAATTATGCCTGATAAAAGGAGTTTCGTGGATGTTTCAGTTCTTTCAAATTCTCCTGGCTTCCTCCCAATTAAATGAGGTTTGTCAAAGCCACAGGGCTCTGCTGCTGCTGCCTCGGCGGACAAGCACTTCCTGCAGCGACATCTCGAATCCCCGAGGGAGAAGATGAAAGGGCTGGTGCCAAGAGACAGGGGAAGGGGGGGCAGGAGTGTGTGTGTGTGTGTGTGTGTGTGTGTGTGCATGTGCACACGCATGTGCGTGTGCTCGTGCATATGTGTGGTGAGGGGCGAGGTGTGGAAATACATATAGAGACAGACCAACAGCTAAGACATGAGACACGCACACAGGAAAAGCAAAGCTACCAGGAATATTGGAGAGAAGATTAGAGGAAGAGAAGACGCTGGGGCCGGTTTGTGCTCATTCACATGGTGGCCCTTACCAAGGGCACATTTTCTACTAAGGTATGTGTTCCCTAGGCCTGGCAGTGCCAGCCTGCTGTTTCATTGCCCCTGGCAAAGAGCCTTTATTAAGAGCCTCCTTTGCAGACAGAGAGCACCAGTGAGCAATCACAGTTCCCAACCTGCAGGGACATAGAATCTCCGTCCTAGTGGAGGGCTGCCCCAGGCATGAGAATTGTGCAAAAATAAGGCATGCTCTTGTGAATGATTTGTAAGGAGAGTTTTCCTTCCCTAATTATGCATGAAATTTTGCTCTCTGATGGCATTTCAGTATGGAATCATTTAAGGGCTTATATTTATATCATTTTATTATTCTGGTTTTATTCTGGCTGTAGGATAACAGAGTTGTCACTTTAAAATATATTCTGTTTCCCCTTTGATCTGGAAGATGCCAGCTCTTATTGTCTGCCCTCTGAAGATGACAAGTAAAGCATGAAACCTGTGACTGGGAGATGTGTGGAGAGTGGAAGGACAGCCTAAATCCCAGTGGTAGAATGGTAGAGAAATTTCCCCCCAAAATGAAAGAATTGCTCCCATCCATCCATGTCTATTTTTATAAAGCTGAGAAGTCCTAAACAACACTTTCTCGAGGTTGTGGCAGTAAGCTTACAGCCAGAGGAAATTTATCAGGGAGTTATTGCCATGAAAAATCAGGAATTCCAGAATTAGTTCCCTTTTGGAGGGCCCTCTTAGGTGGAAAAGCATGAATATTAGAATGGCAAGCATGTGGGAACTTCTGCCAAGTTCTGACATTTTCCCTTACTGACTCATGAACACCTGAAGAAACATTTGGCGAAGGAGAAATTATTGGTAGTCCCTTTCAAAACACACCCAACAGCAAGCAAGCTAATTGCTTTTGCAGATGGCCAGGGAGCCGCTCTTCCCGCTTATATACCGGCTTACGGCCACACTTGTGGTCCTCATGGCTGAGCCAGCAGTGCAGGACGTCAGCTGGGGCAGCTAGGACCTAAAATTAGGCCCTTGGCAACTCTCTAATCTTAGCTGCAGGTTCAGCTTCTTCATTTAATTCCCTTTGCCCTCAGCATGAACTTGGGCTCTGGGAAAGGAACACTGTTTAATGATTTGGGGGTGGAGGGAGTAAAAAATCATTAAGCTGCCCCTTCTAGAAACTGGCTCCACTCCATTCTTGCAGGAAGCCTTCCAAATGTTACCCTTGGAAAGTTAAGACTGATTTTGGAACTTAGCCATTTTGAACTACAGACACTGATCCAGAAAAGTATTTTTTATCTGGGCAGTAAATGCCACATGATTTAAGAGTCTGGTCCTTAAGCCACCGTCCTTGATCGCCAGGACATCAAAGGCTCGTGTTTCTCTCTCTCTCTCTCTCTCTCTCTCTCTCTCTCTCAATTGGTCCCATCTTGCTAGCCAAATCCCATGCTTGAGTCTCCCATTCCTTCCTGGACTAAATCCCCCCTCTCCTTTAAAACAGGTTTTAGCATGTTAGAAAAACAATCTTGAAACTTAAAAGCTTGCAATTGTTTCACAAGTAATTTCGCAAGAACAATATACCATAGGCTGCACTGTCATCATATATACGCACAGTGATGAACACAGGTGGCATTTCAGAACCACCCCAATATCTTTACTCCAAGAGTTCTTCAGCAGGCCTCACTCATATTGCCCCGTTAAAATCTGAGTAATATTTTGTTTTGCTCTAATAAAAGAACTTCGGGCCTTCTTTTAATATTATCTCATTCATATATTTGAAGATCTCTATGCTATCACTTCCCAAAGGTTATTTCTCTAGGCCAAATTTCTTTAACCTTTTTTTGTTTCCAAATATAGATTCGGTGTCTCCCACTTTTTAATTATTTTGTTTCATTGCTCTATTCTGAATCTGTTCCCATAATTTTATATATCTCTGACACCGTGGGCCCAGCATAGATTCAGGTTTCTAACATAGTGGGAGAATTATGTTCCAGTTCACTCATTGAAGATTTACTGAGTCTATTAGGTGTGATATTGAAGGACACAAAAGTGAATTAGCCATGGACACTGTCCTCAAAGAGCTTACAATACTTAAGGAAATGAGACAAGTTTATAAACAGCTGCAGATCAAGTAAACACATGTATGCTATGATGTTCAGAGGAGGTGAGATTAACTCCAGCTGTGGGGATCCAGGATGATTCTATGAGTGGGTCTTGAAAGATGATGAATGTGCATGGTTGGGGAGGAAGGAATGTTGTGTTCCCCTTAATACCATCTAGCATTTTTCTGAAGTTGTCTTCTTTTTAATAATAGTGGCATAATATTAACTCACTCCTTAGGACTGCATGCTTTCTTGCAGCAACTTAAACATTCTTTTACATGTACTAATGAAGCTTAGTTTAGCTCTTTGTATGCTTCCACATGATTTCAAACCTATTTTGTGTATTGCTTTTATTGTCTAGTCTACTCAAAGTTAAGT